GAAAGGATTGAAGGAGGCCGGGCACAGTGGCTCATGCCTGTAATCCCAGCACTTTGGGAGGCCAAGGTGGGTGGATCACTCGAGGTCAGGAGTTCGAGACCAGCCAGGCCAACATGGTAAAACGTGTCTACTAAAAACACAAAAACTTTTAGTACTTTTTTTGGCACGTGGTGGTGCATGCCTGTAGTCCCAGCTACTTGGGAGGCTGAGGTGAGAGAATCACTTGAACCAGGGAGGAGGAGGTTGCAGTGAGTCAAAACATGCCACTGCACTCCAGCCTGTGTGACAGAGTGACTCCATTTCAAAAAAAAAAAAAAAAAAAAGGATTGAAAGACTGATCCATGTATGCATCAATGTGGATAAACCTTGGAAACATCATGCTAAGTGAAAGAAGCAGTCACAAATATATTGTGTGATTTCATTTATATGAAATGTCCAGAATAAGCAAATCTGTAGAGACAGGAAGTAGATTAGTGGTTGCCAGGGGCTGAGGGGTGGAGGAGACAGGACATGACTGCTAACGGGTGTGAGTTTTTTTGGGGGTTAATAAGAATGCTCTAAAATTAGATAGTGGTTTTGGTTGTACAACCTTAAATATACTAAAACAACCACTGAATTGAATACTTTAAAAGCATGAATTTTATAGGATATAAATTATATCTCAATGCTGTTATAAAACAAAAACACAACAAAAAGAAATAGTAAACTTAGGCCAGGCTCTCTGCATACTTAGAAATAGAGATTAGTATCTAATGTCAGTTTATGAAAGTTCCTCAGGGGCAGTAATTATTTGAGTATTTCAGGTACTTATCACAGTGCCTGAACATTGTAAACACTTAAGTCTTTCTTAAAATAATTAATATTATGAGGCTGGGCACGGTGGCTCACGCCTGTAATCTCAGCACTTTGCGAGGCTGAGGCGGGCGGATCACCAGGTTAGGAGATCAAGACCATCCTGGCTAACACGGTGAAACCCCGTCTCTACTAAAAATACAAAAAATTAGCCTAGTGTGGCGGTATGTGCCTGTAGTCCCAGCTACTTGGGAGGCTGAGGCAGGAGAATGGTGTGAACCCGGGAGGCGGAGCTTGCAGTGAGCTGAGATTGTGCCACTGCTCTCCAGCCTGGGCGACAGAGTGAGACTCTGTCTCAAAAAAAAAAAAAATTAATATTATGATACCAAAAGGAAGAATTTTGTGTGTAAATTGTTGCAGATATGTAAGGCCGAAATAAAGAAGATAGGAAATAAAAGCTATTAGAAATTAAAGAGAACTCAACAGGTAGCCAGTTCCAAAATAAACATTAGAAGATTAGTATATTTTCTATATATTTGCAATAACCTAGCCATAAAATGTAATGCAAAGATGTGTTATTAACAAAAACAATATGAAATACCTAAGAATAAACTTATCAAGAAATGTATAGAAGTCTATGTTGGGAAAAAAAAAAGACAACATTTTCCCAAAGGACATTAAAGAAAAAGTGAAGGTTTACTATATTCATGGATGGGAAGACTTAATATTGTAAAGATATTACCTCTCCCCTAAACAGATCTGTATATTTTACGTAACCCCATCCAACTCCAACAACATTTTGTGAGAATAACTAAGTGATTGTAAAGTACATATAAAGGAAAATGTGTCCAAAAAAAAAAAATCCAAAATAACCAAGAATATTTGGAAGAGAGGAATTATAATTGAGATTTGCTGTGTCAAAGAGTAAAGTGTATTATAAAGCTACAATATTAGCACAGAAATAGCAGCTAGATCATATAATAAAACATCATCAACAAAATGCTAACATTCATTGAGTATACTGTGTGTTGTGGGTATTTACATAATTCTCATACAGGTCTGTAAGGGTAGTTACTGTTTTATTCCCGTTTAACAGATAAGAAAACTGAGATTCATACAAAAATACAAAAAATTAGCCGGGCATGGTGGCAGGTGCCTGTAGTCCCAGCTACTCGGGAGGCTGAGGCAGGAGAATGGCGTGAACCCAGGAGGCGGAGCTTGCAGTGAGCCAATATCACACCACTGCACTCCAGCCTGGGCAACACAGCGAGACTCCATCTCAAAAAAAAGCGAACTGAGATTCAGAAAGGTTTAATAACTTGGCTAACTTGTTGATAACAATCAACAGGGTATTGGTTAAATAAAATATGGTATACTTTTACAATTAAAGACTATATGTGACCATTTAAAATTATGTAGAATATTAGTGACACAGTAATTAGGATAATTATATTAAACAAAAAAGTAGATTATAAAACAATATGATCCCATTTAAGATATATATATATATATATAAAGGTTTATATATAACATATGTATACTATATTTTATTTAATCGGTGCCCTGTTAATTGTTATTCAGGCTCATGCTAACTTCTGGCCCTTATCACAATGCTGTGAATAACATTCTCATATCTAAATATTTTTACAGAGCCTCATTTATTTAAGGGTAAATACCTAGAATTAAACTTTGCTAATTAAGAACACCAAATCTAGGTATCAAAATAGGTTTGAATTCTTGCTCTTCCTTATACTTCTACAAACCTAGCCAAGTTATTAGACCTTCCTGAATATATATGTATATAATATATATATAGCATATATATCATATATAAATCTTATATATATATCTTAAGTGGGATCATATTGTTTTGTAATCTACTTTTTCTGTTTAATATAATTAAACAGATCCCATTTAAGATACATATATATATAATCTTTTCTGTCTGATATAATTAGACAGATCCCATGTAAGATATATATATATATATAATCTTCTCTGTTTAATATAAACAGATTCCATTTAAAAGATATATATCTTAAATGAGATCATATTTTATAATCTACTTATTCTGTTTACAGAAAGATTTTCTTGTTTTTGGTACAAAACCCATTTTTTTTCTCTGCACATATATGTACCAAAAATGATTTTCTTTGATAAAATTATGAATGATTTTGGCCGGGTGCAGTAGCTCACGCCTGTAATTCTAGCACTTTGGGAGGCTGAGGCAGGTGGATCGCTTGAGGTCAGGAGTTCGAGACCATCTGGCCAACGTGGTGAAACCCTGTCTCTACTAAAAATACAAGAAATTAGCTGGGCATGGTGGCGCGTGCTGTAGTCCCAGCTACACGGGAGGCTGAGGCAAGAACATCGCTCAAACCTAGGAGGCAGAGATTGCAGTGAGGCAAGATCGCTCTACTGCACTCCAGCCTGGGCGACAGAGCAAGACTCTGTCTAAAAAATAATAATAAATTACAAATGATTTGTATTTTCTTCTTGTTTGTTGATATTTTCTAATTTTTCCACAGTGAAATAAATGTTCCTTCTCTAAGAATTTTTTTTCAATAAAATTATTATGTTGCTCTTGTTTTTTTTAAACAAGGTATGTGAGGTTGTTGTCATTCTTTCATTATTCACCCTGCCAGCTGGCTTAGCTGCTGCTCTGTGCTCCTGCAGTCCCGTGTTTCCCTTGATCCCAGTGTATTGTCGTAGTGATTATAGCATATTGTTATTACTTACTTTTCTGACTCCTATTTCTATATACTTGGTGCCTGTAACAATATTTGGCTCAATAAATGCTTCAGGAAGGAAAGACTGGGAATGAAGGGGAAAAAAAAGAGGAACTGAGGGAGAAGGGAAACCCCCTTGCAGAGATATAGGTTTGAGGTTTTTTTTTCTGTATTTAGGCAGCTTCTTTCCCCAATATCCAAAAGCAAGTGGTGGATGGTATATTATTCATATAATTCTTTATACTGATAGAGAAAATGAGTTGAACAACAAGAACAAAAAAGGCCTTGATTTCAGAACCACTTGTCTTTAAGTCCTGATTGCGAGGAACCAAAAATATATGTAAGGCTAGCTGTGGTAGCTAACCCCTGTATCCCAGCACTTTGAGAGGCTGAGGCAGGAGGATTGTTTGAGCCCGGGAGTTTGAGACCAGCCTGCGCAGCATAGGGAGATTCTGTCTCTATACACATATACACACATACACACACACACACAGAGATCCAGATCCTGTCTCTACACACATACATAAACACACACACACACACACATTCAGTTAACCGGTTGTGGTGGCACATGCTTGTAGTCCCAACTACTTGGGGGAGGCTGAAGTGTAGGGATTGCCTGAGCACTGGAGATTTACCCTGCAGTGAGCCCTGATTGTGCCACTGCCCTCCAGCCTGGGTGACAGAGTGAGACCTTGTCTCAAAAAAAAAAAAGAAAATAAAACAATATATATATATAAAATTTATATGTGTTTATATAGATACCATTTATATGCTTATATGTATGTGTATACACACACATACACACAGAGAGAAGGGAAGGTGGGGATCTTTACATTTAGAAATGCCAGAGTGAATCTTTCCCAAATTATTGAAACATATGAGGGCTATTTTGGCAGAAAATGCTGCCCTGTCCCTCCTTCCCTTCCACCAGTTGTATCTAAAAAGGCATTTTTGGTTTTTTTTGAGACAAGGTTTTGCTTTGTTGCCCAGGCTGGAGTGCAGTGACATGATCATAGCTCACCATAACCTCGACTCCTGGGCTCAAGTGATACTCCCATTTCAGCCTCCTGAGTAGGTGGGACCACAGGCATGCACCACTATGCTTAGTTAATTTTTTTATTTTTAGTGGAGACCAGATCTCACTATGCTGCCCAGGCTGGCCTTCAATTCTTGGGCTCAAGTGATCCCCCACCTCTGCCTCCCAAAGTGCTGGGATTACAGGAATGATCACCATGGCTGGTTTTACAGCTAGCCTTACATATATTCCACATTTATTTTTAATAAAAGACTTGGCAGATGTGGGAGTTGTTGCCTGCTTGCCTTTCAGACTTTTCTGGGTAAAAGATCATAAAAGACCTTGGGGACTGCTCCCTGGCCCAGATACTCATATCATGTATCTATTTAAACATGAATTTGCTTGAGGAGAAGGCCAGAGAAATGGACTTAATGTAACCCCAGTGTTATTTTTCTTTCCAGGAAGGGGAACAGTTTGTGAAGAAAATCGGTGGTATTTTTGCCTTCAAGGTGAAAGATGGCCCTGGGGGTAAAGAGGCCACCTGGGTGGTGGATGTGAAGAATGGCAAAGGATCAGTGCTTCCTAACTCAGGTTAGTTTGGGAATGACTTCATTTCTAGGAGCACTGACAAGTTTACAAAGGCTGTCAGCTGGGAAAATGGGGGTCTGCTCTACTGTTCCCCTACAGGACTGGCTTTTCATGTTAAAGAACCAGTGAATTCCAGGGAACAGGAACAGGTCAAAGCCACCTCCTCCCAAGGATTTGCAGGCTCCATCACAGAGTTGCCAATCTTAGGCTTTGGAATTAGGCAAACTTGGGTTGGAGTCCCGTCCATGCCATTCACATATTCTGACCTTGAACAAGTTATTTAACTTTTCTGAGACTCGGTTTTCTCTTCTGTAAATGGGCTTAATAAATGGCCCCTTTTCATAGGATTGGTATGAAGATTAAGAGGATTCTCTCTTAATTAACCTGTAAAGCACATGGTCCAATGCATGGCTAGTGGCCTTGGAAGACCTATCTATAGTCACTATCGCCAGTTATTCTCATCCAAATCTTTCTTGAACCCACTCTAGTCAGCTTTTGTCCTCATCACTATCCCTGGACTGTTCCTGTCAAGGTCACCAGTGACTACCACATTGCTAAATTCAGTGGTTAATTCCCAGCCCTCATGATATTACACTTACACGTTTTCCTTGCCTACTGGCTGTTCCTCCTTGGCCTCTCTTGATGGTTTCTTTTTGTCTTCAAATTTCTAAGCATTGGAGTGTTCCAAGGCTCAGTTCTATTTGCCTTAATTCCTTGGGGATCTTATCTAGTCCCATGCTTTGAAACAGTTTCTACGCTAATGACTGTCTTTAGCGTGGACCCAGCCACTGAACTACAAGGTGTATATCCAGCTGCTTAACTGACAAGTTTACTTGGACACCTAATAGGTATCGCAGAGCTAACATGTGAAACTGAACTCCTGATCTTTCTTCTTCTCCCCTGTAAGTGTGTGCTCCTCTTGCTGTTATCCCATTCTTGGTAAATTGCTCCTGTGTCCTACTGGTTCCTTGGTCTAAAAACCTTGAAGTCATCTCTGGCCATTTTTTTTCTCTTACACTCCACAGTTTAACCCATCAGCACATCTTGTCCTCCTCTGTAGCCACCACCCCCCTGGTCTAAGCCAGCATCATTGTTTTATCTGGTCTCCCCACTTCTATTCTTGCCCACTACACTGCACACCTGCCAGAGTGATCATTTAAAAACTTGCCGAATTGTTACCTTCCTCTGCTCAAAAGCATCCAATAGCTTTGTCTCACTGCAGGTAAAAGCAAAGTTCTTAAAATTGTACTGTATGATCTGGTCCCAGTTTTCACTGTCTTACTATGTATGTCCTTGCTCACTTGGCTCCAGTAACACTGACTTTTTTGCTGTTGGCATGAATGTGGGATTCTCTTGGTTGGGGACTTTTCTACTCTCTGTTCCCTGTCTGGAATTACCTTCTCCCAGGTATCCTTGTGGCCTATTCCCTCCTTTCCTTTGGATCTTTGCTCAAATTTCACCTTCTCAGTGAGCCCCTCCCTAACCACCCTTTTTAAATTCTTACCCCCACGGTGAAACCCTGTCTCTACTAAAAATACAAAAAAATTAGCTGGGTGTAGTGGCGAGTGCCTGTAGTTCCAGCTACTCAGGAGGCTGAGGCAGGAGAATGGCGTGAACCTGGGAGGCGGAGCTTGCAGTGAGCCAAGATCACGCCACTGCACTCCAGCCTGGGCGACAGAGCGAGACTACATCTAAAAAAATAAATAAATATATATATATATATATATATATATATATATTTATCACCCCCATTACCATTCCCTATTGCCCTTTTCTGCCTTATTTTTCTCCATAGCACTTATTACTATCTGATATACCATGTAATATTTTACTTACTTTCTTTTTGTCCATCTCTCTCACTTGAATTGTAAGTTCCTTGAAGACAGAGCTTTTTGTCTGAGGTATACTGCTGCATTCCCAGTGCTTAGAATGTACCTGACACATGGTAGGCCTTCAAAAATGAATAATTTAAAAATGGACAACAGAATGAATGAATGGTTCCGAGTAAGCATTCAGTAAGTGGTAGCTGTACTCTACTGTTATGCTTCTCTTGTTGGAGAGAGCCTAGGGTAATTTAGAAACACTATGGATTGGGACCAGCTTTTTGGAGGGCTTAAAATGCCGTGATAGGGGCTGGGCAAGGTGGCTCACACCTGTAATCCCAGCACTTTGGGAGGCCGAGGCAGGCGGATCACAAGGTCAGGAGTTCGAGACCAGCCTGGCCAACATGGTGAAACCCCATCTGTACTAAAAATACAAAAAATTAGCTGGGCGTAGTGGTGCATGCCAGTAATCCCAGCTACTTGGGAGGCTGAGGCAGGAGAATTGCTTGAACCCAGGAGGCAGAAGTTGCAGTGAGCCAAGATGGCACCACTGCACTCCAGCCTGGGCAACAGAGCAAGACTGTCTTGAGAAAAAAAAAAAAAATGCCAATGATAGGAACTTTGAAAGTCATTTGGTATATAACCAGTATACCAAAGCTTTTTAATATGCATTAGAGCTTCCTAAATAGAAAAGTGAAGTCAGAGCTGTGTTTTAGAGGATGAAACTGGTACATTAGACCTGAAGAATTAAAAGGGGTGAGATCAGAAGCAGAGAGAGCCATCAGGAGGATAGATGTTGCCACTGTCTAAGTGCGTGGAGAGGATGGCTGGCCTTTGTGTAGGCAGTGGGAAAAGTGAGTGTTGTGAGAGTAGATGTCAGAGATACTAGAGGTGAAGGTAATGGGACCTGGGAATTGTATGGAAGAAGCATGTCTGTCAAAAATGGTGAAATTTCATTACTGACACATTTTTGAGGGAGGTCCTTTTGGAAAGGACGACGTAGGAGCACAGGTGGAAGCAAGGTTATCTCTAGTAAGAAGGGATGGATGGAAACTTCTTTCTCTGAAAGTGCAGGTAAATATTCAGGGGCATTTTGAGAGGAGAGGAGGTCGGAAAGCTCCTGGAATGGAGTATAGAGCTTGGAGTGTGGAGAAAAAGTGAAGAGTACTGTTAATGTACATGGTTGAATAAGGGATTGATGAGAGATGAATGAAAGAAAAATTGAGCAGTAGTTAGGGCATCTGTCTAGTGTGGGCAGCATGACTTTGTTGTGGAAGGTTCCTGAATTATACAGAGTCCCTTTTTTTCCTTCCAAAATGAATGGGCAAAACAGTGATCATAACTGCATTCTATGAGCCGCCACTCTAAGGTGGTGTACAAAGAAAAGCTAAAGGCTTTATCTGGATTCCAGCTTTTAGAAATAGAACTTCAGGAATTATATTAGTGATTTTTTTTTTTTAATGACTGAAGGTTAATGTTACTTTTGTATTTAGATATGCCCATACTGATATTAAGGTTGTTTTAAAAAAATTTCTCCTTCTCCTCCTATTTTGCTGTTGTTGATTGATAGGGTTGGTTTGTTATCAAAGATCATATGCTGATGGAAAGCTGTTGAATGATTTTGGAAAAGCTGTGTTCCCTCCAGATAGGTTCTTGCCATGTTCTTCCCACATTAGGTGCTGTACCCCAGACCCCAAGGGATCTTACCCTGGGGCAGGATAATTTCTGCTGAAACTGACACTTGTTGGCAGCCAAGAGTGGTGCTGAAATACAGACTTACCAAGAAAAGCCATCACTGGAAATTGCCAGCTCCTTTTACATCAACCAACAAATGGCTATTTGTTAGAGATTAGCTACATTAAAGCATTAATAACCTGTCCTAGTTTGAACCGGCATCTTAAGGAGAATTGCTAGTTCATTTGGCATATGTTAGGGGGTTTGTTTATTGTTAACAAAGTAAGATTTACTTAAATGTATTTTGTAAGAGCTTGGTAATGATTATTGAGATGAATATATTATGGATTTGTAGATTTTGTGCATTTTCCATCATCTGTTTTTGCTGCCTGGGTACCTTTTAGTATCTCCTCCACGAGTTCTGCCTTTGCCTCATCTCCTTTGAAACAACTCATATAGCATATATCCAGGAAGCCAACTTTGATTAATCTAACATAAGATATTATTCCTTCATTCTTTTATTCTGCCCCTTCAGCACCTTGAGTTCTCAACTTTCTCCCTTTATGGGCAGCATGATACAGAAAGCTTCAGGGTCTCCTAACCCCAAGGTGCACTAGAAAGAGCATAGCCTTTTAGAAACACCCAAAACTGGGTTCAGATCTAGGCTCTGTCACTTAGAGGGTATATACCTTCCCTGAGTCTAGTGGTCTTATCTAGAATATGATGAGAATAGTTTGTATCCGTAGAACGGTTGTGGGGATTAAATGAGATAAGGAAGATAGAGCACCTAGTAAGTGCTCAGTAAATCATTGTTTCCTCCCCAACCATATGTTAAACATTAATTGTGCTTAGACATATAGGTTTGTCTAAGGCTCCCAAAAGGACTTTGAAAACTTGGAAACCATCTGGGATTCATCAAATGCTGATAAATCAGTGAAGGCACAGTTAAAACTGAGCTGTTGAATGTTTACATACTTCCTACAACAAAAGGAAGCAATAGAGCATAGGACTTGGGAGTATGAGCTTTGGCAACAGGAATCTGCATTCAGATGTAGCTCAGCTACTTACTAGCTATGTGGTCTTGGGCAAGTTATTTGGTCCCTCTGACCCTTATAGGATTGTTATAAAGATCAGATGAGACCCGGTATGTTGAAGTGTTCAGCATAGTGAGAGCTCACTAAATGCTGATATTACAGCAGTGGCAGTAGCAGATTTTACTTCCTGAAGCCCCTTTCAATGACCAAGAGTCCTTTCTTGGACTGTTAGGACCAGGTCCAATGATCTCAGTTTGTTTTTTACCTCGTGCTCTTTGACGTTATATATCTGCAAGAGAACTGGATTTTCTAGGCTGTAAATTTGTTTATTTTTTAAGGATTTAGACCTTTTTTCCAGTATTAAGAGAAAATTTTGTTAGCAGCTAAGTTAGGATAACCATTGAATCTCAGTCTTTTTAGGGGCAATCCCTGAGTTGTAAGACATATAATAAAACCTTTTTTTCTATCTTGTTTCAGTTATTTAATAACAGAGGCATACTATGGTTTAACAGTTTATTCTATTTCTTTTTTTTTTTGAGATGGAGTCTCACTCTTGTTACCCAGGTTGGAGTGCAATGGTGCGATCTTAGCTCACTGCAACCTCCGCTCCTGGGTTCAAGAGATTCTCCTGCCTCAGCCTCCCGAGTAGCTGGGATTACAGGCACCCGCCACCATGCTCAGCTAATTTGTGTATTTTTAGTAGAGGTAGAGTTTCACCATGTTGGCCAGGCTAGTCTTGAACTCCTGACCTCAGGTGATCTGCCCACCTCAGCCTCCCAAAATGCTGGGATTACAGGTGTGAGCCACTGTGCCCGGCTTCTATTCCATCTCTTTTGTTAAGGTACAGGTTATCTGATTAGCTATTATGCCATAATTTGATCATCTTTTGAAATTCACATAATCTATTAAATTTATTCAACAAATGTTTATTGATTTCCTATGTGTCAAGTACTCTTCAAGGGCCTGTGGATATATCAGTGATCAACACTGACAAGGGCTCTGCCCCTTGAAGTTTTCATTCTGTTGGACAAATACAGACAGAAAACATATACACATATAAGTAGAGTAGTTTCAGATCAGTGCCCTGTGAATAAAATGTGACTTCATTTCAGGGAGAGGCCAGGTTTAATTTGAGCTAATTCTTAATGAGAGGAGGAGCCTACTGTTAGAATCCTATTGTTATATTAATTGATTGCCTAAAACGTTGACTGCTGAAAATGTTGATTTCTTGGTGAATTTTTCCTTTTGCACTTGAAACCTCTCATTTGGACAAGGTAGACACGGCTGATTTAACAATGAGGTATTAGTCTTTGTTGTCCAGTCTTTTTTCCACTATTTCACTTTGATAATAAAATTAATATTTTAAAAGCTTTGTATTATTAAAATTGCATACACTTGATGTAAAAAAATTAGAAAAGATAGACAAATAAAATGAAGAACTACCCTGCCAAAATTCCACTGTCCAGGTTAGGAGTTGGCAAATTATGCCCTGCAGACCTAGCCTACCACCTGTTTTTACGTTTTGTGTTTTGTAAAATTTTTATTGAAGTCTAGCTTGTAGTAAGGGCATAATTCCAGAGTGTACCACATGATGAATGTTGACAAATGAATACACCTCCAAGATTAAGACACAGAATGTTGCCAGCACTCCAGAAGCCTCCCTCCTGCCCGCCTGCTATCACTATTCACTCCCAAAAGGAACCATTATTTCGAATCCTATCACCATAGCTTGATTTTATTTATAGACCAATAACATTTACTCTTTTTTAGATCTGGCTTTTTTTATTCAACAGCATAAGATTCATTCATATGGTTGCATGTGGCAGTAGTTTGTGTTTACTATGCAAATACTCCAGAATTCATTCCTAGTGCATTTGATGTATCTTTGCATTGTTTCAAGTTGGGGGCCTGATGAATAATGTTGTTATGAATATTCTTGTAGATGTCTTCTAGTGGACATTTCCGTTGTACTTATTTCCACTGGACATGTACCCAGGGCTAGGTGATAAAGTACAGGATAGCCAAACAGGTTTTTCGTGTGGATGTACTATTTTACATTTCCTTCCACATTATATGAGAGTTTTAGTTCCTCTGCATTTTTGACGGTACTTGGTACTTGCCAGGTTTTTTTTAAATCAGGGTAATTGATGTACAATTAACAATTAACAATAAAATCAACCCTTTTCAGATGTATAATTCTGTGAATTTAGACAAATGCATACAGTTGTGTAACTATCACCAGAAATCAAGATATAGACAGACTGTTTCCATTACCCCCGAAAGTGTCCTCATGTCCCTCTATAGTCAGCCCCCTCAGGCCCTTTCAGCCACTAGTTTGATTTCTCTCCCTGTAGTTTTGCTTTCCCTAGGAAGTCATACCCATGAAATCATACAGTATGTAGCTTTTTGAGCCTCCTTCTTTCACTGAAATTTATTCATGTTGTTGCATGGATCATCAAGTATTTTGTTCTTTTTTGCTGCTGAATGGTTACCCGTTCACCAGTTGATGCACATTTGGGTTTTTTCCAGCTTTTGGCAGTTATGAATAAAGCCACTATAAGCATTCACATGCAGGTTTTTGTGTGGACATAAGTTTTCATTTTTCTTTGGTGACTACCTAGGAATAGGATTGCTAGTTCATGTAGTATGTGTATGTTTAGCTTTATGTGAAACTTCCAGACTGTTTTCTGAAAATGGCTGTATCATTTTACAGTCTTTCTGATATTATATTGACCTTTCATTTGTTTCACTTCCTCACTAATGCTGGGTATTGCCTTTTTTTTTTTCTTTTTTAAATTTCAGCCATTTGTTCTAGTAGGTATGTGGCACTCATCATGATTTTAATGTGAATTTTCTGATGGTTAAGGAAGGGAAGCACTGTTTCATGTGTTTCTTGGCCATTTGGAGATCTTTTATATAATGCCTATATGTGTCATTTGTCCATTTTTATTTTGGCTCGTCTAACCTTTTCTAGTTAAGCAGTAGGAGAGTAGGAGTTTTTTGTTTGTTTTTTTTCCCCCATAATCCACTGTACCTTCGACAGGAGTTCTTCATATAGTCTGGATACAAGTTCTTTGTCAGAGATATATGAGTTGCAAGTATCTTCCTCTGACTGCCACCTGTTTAAAATAATTTTATTGGAACACAGCCAACATTTGTTTATATATTATCTATGGCTGCTTTTGCACTAAAGGGCAGAATTGAGTAGTTGTGATAGAGACCTACTGACCTGCAAAGCCTAAAATATTTAGTGTCTGATCCATTACAGAAAGTTTGTTAACCCTCGATCTAGATAACCGTATTCATTTTCTATTATGGTATAACAGATTGCCACAAACTTAGTAGCTTAAAATAATGCACACATTTATTAGCCCACAGTTACCTTGGATAAGTAGGCTGAGGACAGCTTATCTGGGTCCTCTGCATAGAGTCACACAAGGCTACAGTCAAGGTGTTGGCCAAGGCTGGGCTCTCATCTGGAGGCTTCACTGGGGAAGGATCCATATCCAAGTTCATTCAGGTTGCTGGCAGAATTCATTCCCTGTGGCCTTGGGAATGATAGCTTTCCTCTTTTACTGGCTATAGGCCAGAGCTGGTCCTCAGCTCCTAATGGCCAGTTCCCTGCCACATAGCCCTCTCCATAGGAAGTCCGTAACATAGCAGTGAAGTCATTCAGAGCCAGCAGGAGAGCAAGAACAAATCTGCTAGCAAGGTGGAATCATTTAATGTAACAAAATCACAAGAGTGACATCTCATTATCTTTGCCATATTCTGTTAGCTAGAAGCAAGTCACAGGTTCTGCTCACACTGGAAGGAAGGGGATGTACACCAGGAGGGTCACCTTAGAGTCTGTCACAGTTACTGTTAGTAATATATTGGTGTCTTCAGTTTACAGATGTTTTTCTATATTTATATAGTTGAATTCTGTTTTTAAGCAAAAATGGCATCATACAGTTTATTTTGTAACTGGCATATATAATAATATCACGAATAATGTAACATGAACATTTTTTTATGTCAGTAAATCCAGATGCATGTCATTTCTTATTGTGGTTTATATCATACCTGACTATTTGAATATACCATAATTTATTTAATCAATTCCATCTTGTTAAATATCAGGATTGCTTGTGGTTTGTGTCACATTTTACCAGCCTGCCATAGAAGTATATGTGAGTGCCCATTTCCCCACACTGCCTCAGTGCTGGTTGTAATTCTGTTGCAGTCAGTGGCTTTTGACAAAAATGTATATATGAAACTGAACACCTCCTTTTTTCCTTCCTTCTCCTGTGTATCTGTTTTAGATAAGAAGGCTGACTGCACAATCACAATGGCTGACTCAGACTTCCTGGCTTTAATGACTGGTAAAATGAATCCTCAGTCGGTAAGTATGATGGAGCTTATATCCTGCTAGTAGGTAGGTTTTCGGCCCTTTCTACTCCATCTCCTGACTCAGACTCTAAAGTGCAAAGTGGTCAGACACACAAAACTCTGCAGCGTTCCCCAAACAAGTGACAGATGTCTGTGGAGCAAGCTATGTGCCAGACACTGTCTTGTGTGCTGGAAGTGCCCAGAAGAATAAGAAATAGTTCCCAAGCTCAGGGCATCCACAGATCTGGAAAAGAGTCAGTGCAGCCAGAGATCCAAGGTGCCACACCTGACTTGTGGTCAGGGGAGGATGAAGGCAGGAGCAGCTATATCTCTCTGGGCCATCAGGGAGAGCCCCACAGAGGAAGCAGCTCTTAAGTTTAGTGCCCAGGTGGAAAGTAGGAGTGTTCCAGCAGGAGGGAGCGGTGGCATGAACAAAGGCATGACCTTTTACATTCTATTTATTTGCCCATGTTCTTCTTTTTGCCTGACCTGTCCTTACCTGACAAATGATTTGTCTTTCAAAGTTAGCTCAGATGTTATCTCCAAGGACCTCTTTCCAAGTTGCTGCGGAGCTGTAACCAGTCCCTCTCCTGAGCCACTTACTGGACTGCCAGCTTAGTGCCTGTTGTGTTGTGTTAGTCATGATATGCCTCTCTCTCTTCCCTGTTAGACTGTGAGTGTCTCAAAGCGTCAAAGCACATCTTATTTGTCTTTATGTTTCCAGAATTTAGCACAGTCTCTGACATTTTTAGGTATTCTGTAAACACCTGTTGGACTAAATTGCATTTGTCTAGAATGTGTTTATGCCTTGTATAGATTTTCCTAGTCCCCAGATTGTCAAGGGTCCTCTTAGATTCTTCAGCTGCAGTGTTGAATGGACTTGATACAGTGAGCTTTCTGTCAACTTGATATACTGAGCTTTCCATTAAAAAAGAAACTAAGATGTTTCTTTCCAATGTAACTTAATTTTTTTGTTGTCTCAGTCTGGTTTGTTTTAGGTCTTATTCCTGTGGTTCTCTGGTAATTTGCAAGATTGGATAAAACAACTAAATCTCACTCCCACTTGCTTTTTTAAAATGCTTTTTCTAAGTAACCAAGCACATTTTAGTTGATGCCATGACAAGTGAGATTTGTATCTGTGATGTTTCTGCTGAATACACACCATTGGCACTGACATTTCCACTGAGCTCGCTCCAGAAATCTAGACAGAACAGAGGCCACCAGTATAGGAGCTGGCTGTCATCCTGCTTCCCACCCACTGCACATGCCATGCACAGCTCTGGCAGGCTGTTCAGACTTCACACATCAGCTGCCTTCATTCTCTCAATTTATCTTTGTACTGCCCATTTTGGGGGCAAGGTGTCAGCTTATTTTCCTTCAGCACCTGTTAACACCCAAAGGAATTAAAGATAAAAATAGCAGACCTTTCTATTAATGTGCTAATGGACTTCCCTTATGCTCAGAGGATTTCCAGAGGATTTGACTGGAAATCGTTAAATGCAGTGGAAATTCTAATTTCAGTGTTTGACTCCAGCAGCAAGCATACATGAAGAACACCTAGGGGCCAGACTGAAATCATCTTTATGTATGGACTCTCTAAAGGGTGAAGATTCATGTTTTCTCCATTGTTAGTAAATAAAAAGTGATTTTCTTTGTTAACTTACAAAGGGGAAAGGTGGTGAGTTTCTCCTGTACTACTGGTCCGTATTTTTTTAATGATGTTTGTTCAATATATTGTGTTCTGAGACACCTGACCTTTAAGCCATCAGACAGAAGGCTTTGTGCCATATTTAGTTTGTCCAGACAGAGGAGGGGGAAAAAAAGGAATTAGTCACCCCTATCAGGAGGTACAGAAAAAACAGAGCTCCTTACATTCCCATGGATGATGTAGAAGAGCTCCTAGCTTCTTAATGTACTGTTAAAAACCTAAGACTACCAGAAACGTTTTTTAAAATCTAGCCCTTCCATATTTTAAACATTCAGTTAAAATACTGAGATCATGGCAGGGAAATTATGCTGTGTTCCCAATTTTGCTATTTCTCTTAAGTTTTCCTGGGATTTTGTTACATGGTAAATTTAGCAAACATCATGTGATCTAATCCCAGGCAGTTGTTAAATGGAACAAATTGTGGCTCTGCACTTGAGATTGGTTTGATTCTTCTTATTGAGCCAAAGAGTAACACAAGCACCCCATTCTCAGCAGGCTCTGTGTCCTCTGTAGGGATAAGTCCTTTATCATTGGTGGCATTTCATCCACATGCACGTTGGATTGAACCCCAAGAGTTTCTGTGTTTTTTGTGTATGCTTTTTCTCTCAGCAGCCTGCTAAAAATTTCAGTTCATATTTCCCACCTACATGGAATGTTTTAAAACAGAATCAGTCTAGTAACCCACTTTGAGGAGGACAGGTAAAAACAGGCTCAATTTCTATGAGAAATTTGGGAAGGCTGCTCCTTTCTGCTGCTCTGCGAAAAGTGTGGCCTTTTCAAATTCTTTTGAAGAATCTGGTTCCAAATCTATTGTAGAAAGCCAAGTTTCATATTTTAGAGAAAGTCATGTGACCTGGATAAATAAATGATCTCAGGGCTAGATAGTATAGAAACATCAGCAATCTTAAAAACACCGAGTAATGAGTTTTCTTTCTTCTTTACAGGCCTTCTTTCAAGGGAAATTGAAAATCACTGGCAACATGGGTCTGGCTATGAAGTTACAAAATCTTCAGCTTCAGCCAGGCAACGCTAAGCTCTAAAGAACTCCCTTTGGCTACTTTGAAAATCAAGATGAGATATATAGATATATATCCATACATTTCATTGTCAGAATTTAGACTGAAACTACACATTGGCAAATAGTGTGGGATAGATTTGTTTTTAAATGGGTGTGACCAATCCTGTTTTTCCTATGCTCTGGGTGAATAGAGCCTGATGGTATACTACTGCTTTGCGGAATTGCATACAACTGTGCATTACAAAGTTAATATGGTAATTATGGTCTGGGGTAAAATTGAGTTTCAGAATAAAATTAGGAACAGTAAAATCCAAAGAACTATGTAAACAAAAAAGCTTTTGTTTTGCTTACAAAGTATATTTAAGGATTATTCTGCTGAAGATTCAATTTAAGAGTTTTCCTTGGGAGAACTAAGTAAGAAACACAATGCCAACAGCTGGCCAGTAATTAGTGTTGTGCACTTAATGTCCTTAATCAATTTCTCAATAGTTCTTGAAATTAGTGAGATTAAGAAAAAAGTCTAAAAATTCTGCATTTCATGCTATCAGAAACAGTATTTTCTTCCCAAATCAAAATAAAAGAAATATGATCAGAGCTTGCACACAGGCTTGTTTTTAAAATAAAAATATTTTTAAAACGGGTTTCCTTCTTGAAAAATCAGTGTATTAGTCATAAAACACTATCATTAAGAATAATTGAACAATAAAGTTTGCTTTGAGATGCACAGTTTTCAAATTATAATCTCACTTCAAATATATAAAGTCCTCAGTCCTTTGTTACAATATCCTTTTTCATGTAAGTTTAATTATCTGCATTTATCTTTTTTCCTAGTTTTTCTAATACTAATGTTATTTCTTACAATTCAGTGAGATATGGGATAAAATAATGCTTTGAGAAGAATGTTTAATAGAAAATTAAAATAGCTTTTTCTGGCCTCTCTTATTTATATTATGTGTGTTCTTCTTGCTCAGGGTTCTCTAGATAATGCAGAATAAAGAGAAACATTGGGGGATTTATAAACTGAATGTTATCTGGACATAATCACTAGTTTTTGACTGGGGAGGCAGTGTGGTATAATAGAGCACTTGACTAGGAGCCAAGAGACTTGCTTCTCTTAGGCAAATAACTGCCTGCCTGGACCCGTTTGCTAAACTGTTAGGAGATTTAAGTAGATGATCCAAAGGTACCTTCTGCTCCAAATCCTGTGAGTTTCTTCAGAGCCCAGTAGAATGGTTTGGGAATTATCCAGGCCCCGCCTTGCTGTTGTTGTAATTACTTCACCCAAAGGTGGGCAGAGGTAGAAAACAAGCTGGCTTCATTTGTTTAGGTGATTGGAGCCCTTGCTAATATAGTCAGGACTATGGATCAGGTCTCCTAAGACCATTTAGCTTTGCATGTTCTGTGACCAGCAGAACAGCATTTGGTGGTAGGGCAAGAGGATACGTTAAGCCAATAGAAGTTGATCCCAAGTCCCATAAAATGAATTCAGAACACAGACCTACTTCCTAATCATAGTAGCTTCTTACTCTGAGAAGAAAAAGACTTCAAGAAAAGAGTTTCAACAAAATGTCTGATTTCTCTGTAGTTTGGATTCACTGCTTCATTCTGTCCTCACTTATCCCACATAACAAGAGATACCTGAAATAGGCTTTAGGATAAACCTCAAAAACAAAAAGGAAAAACAAAAACTGGTTCTCAGGGTAGGAATATGTTCATATAGGATGTAATTTGTGTGCGTGATAGAAAAGTACTTAGTGGTAAAATAGTTTGATTTTTTTCCCCTTCTGGTATTATGGTTTGGAGGAAGGAGATTAAGTTTTAATTTGAGTTAAAACTGCCGTTACTAGTTGTGCTGCTTGAAGAGATCAAGTCTCAGTTGCCTGATTGATAAAGTGGAGATACTAATATTGGCCTCCTAGGATTATGAGACGCTAGAGAGATAACACGTAAAGTACCTACAGCAGTTGCTAGTTGAGGGTAGTCATTCAGTACATGTGAGTTCCCTTGCTCTTCTCACCATTAGCAGCACCACTTGCTCCTGGGATATGTGATTCCTGGGATATGTGATAATGATGTTTGTAGTGTTATGTCCCACTTCTGGAGTCTTTCATTTGTTCATTTAACAGGTATTTATTGAGTGCCTACCATATATAGAAGGTACAATCTCACCGGAGATACCAGTCAGCTCTTTTTCTCAAGGTGCTTACATGGGGAAGACAGTCAAAGAGACAATTATTATTGACTATGAAGTGCCCAGCAGGAAATGGTTAGGGTGCTGTGATAAGCAGTCATAGTGAGGGACCTTGATAAAGTAGTTAAAAGAGATGTCTTCGAGGAAGTAATTTTTAAGCTGAGATCTGAAGGTTAAGAAGGAGCAAACCATGCAAAGAACATTGCATGAAAGGGTAGAAACAGGCTTGACTTGTTCCAAAAACTGCGAGGGGGCCAGTCTGAGTGGAATAGTGAGCAGGAAGGACAGGCCGGAGATCAGATTGCTAGTTCTGAAACACAGAAGCTAGTTTCATTGGGATTTGTTCATTATGGTAAGGCTTTTTTTGTATTTCATTCTTAGTGAAGTCAGGAGCTGTTGACAATATAGCTTTACAGGTGTTTATTTCTTAGGCTACATATTCATCTTGCCATCATATCCTAGGTCTGGAACCCAGACTAATGGAGTAGCCACTACCTGGAACATCATGACCATCATGGCAGATGAAGAGAAAAAGGTGAAGTGCATGTTGGCTCTTAAAGCTTCTGCCTGAAGTGATACATACCACTTCTGCTCCCATCTCCTTGACCAAGGAAAGTCACATACCCCACCTAACTTCAGATACTTAACATGTACCAGAAGGAGAAATTAGAGTTGGAATATTGGTGAAGAGAAATGATGACCACCAGAGGACTGCAAACGTGAATGAAATAATTTAACACTATAGCTGGTGTGTGGAGAATGTACTGGTGGCAGAGGGCTGGAGAATGGATGTTGGGGTACAAGAAGATGGCGTCCTGGACTAGGGTGTCAGCAGTAGAGATAGATGTGGAAAAACAGGCAGAAGTAGAGCTGACAGAACTTGGTAACTGAATGTCAGGGGCCAGGGGAGGGGGGCGGTGACAAGAATGACTTCTAGTGATGGGCCAGCCGAATGGTGGATCGTGACTGGACTGGCAGTGAGACAAGCAGGTTTCAGGGGGAGTAGTTGAAATAAGCTCTGCTTTTGAAATTTTAACTTGGAGATGCCTGGGAGATTTGCAAATAGAGATATTGAGGAGACAGTTGGATTTGACGAGCTTAGAGGTGAGGTCAGCTTGGAGACACACTTGGAAGTCATGAATATATGGGTTGAATTTAAAGCTACACGAATGGATATTACCTGGGTTGGGGAAAAGGAAGGTTGGGGTAATCCTTGAGGAACTTCAGCTTTTTGAGGTCTAGTAGAGGAGGGCAAGGGGCCAGAGAGGTAGAGGGAGAACTCCAAGAAGAGAGTATGGCCAAAATGGGAATGGCCAACTATGTCACTTGACCCCAATAGAGAGGTCAAGTAGGATGATCTCTGAAAAGTGTCTACTTGGTTAAATTTGGTGACACGAAAGTCACTGGTGACCACTGCAAAATCAGTTTCAAAACTGATTTTGAAAAAACCAGTAGAGCAGTAGGGATAAAACTATATTGGAATTGGTTTCATAAAGTTCTATGAAAAATAGGAACAGAAGAGTTCCATTTGGTAGTGATATGCTCAGTTTCCAAGTGACAAATATAGAGCAAGCACATTAGCTAACTCAGGTCTAAGCTGCGTCATCTTGAACACGCTGTTCTCTGCGCCCACCCTCACCATTCTGTCACTCCCCACTCTTGCCCCCCACCACACAGTTCACTTGGCAAATTCTCTTCATCCTTCAAGACTTACTTAGGTACCTTTGCTTTCAGGAAGCTGTCCCCATTTGTTACCCTGTAGAGCAAATCATTCCTTCCTGGTCATTTGTTTCTGTCTCCCAGCCAGTAGAGAGGTTCTTAAAGGAAAGGACTGCCTCTCATGCATCCATTTTGAGATCTCCAGCATAGTCTTGGCTGACTGTTGTTAAATGAATGAAGGAGATAGGCGAATAACAATTTTATATTCACAGAGGGACCTTTTCTGAGGATGAGAGCCTAGTCACAGAATTGCATTCTCCATTACAAAGACTTTTTGTAGCCCCGATGATGAAAGAGAACATTAAACATTTTTCCCTTAGCCTAACTTTTCCTAATTTTTCTTTGCAAATATTTGCAGCTTCCCATAACAATCTTTCAATTTCAGACTGAAACAATTGGAAGTAGTAAGAAAAATCTGTTTATTAGTGGTCTTACTATGTTTTTAAAAACTAAGTGGCAGCTGGGCGCTGTGGCTCATGCCTGTAATCCCAGCACTTTGGGAGCCCGAGGTGGGCGGATCATATGAGGACAGGAATTCAAGACCAGCCTAGCCAACATGGTGAAACCCCGTCTTAATTAAAAATTTAAAAATTAGCCGGGTGTGGTGGCACACACCTGTAATCCCAGCGACTCGGGAGGCTGAGGCATGAGAATCTCTTGAGCCGGGAGATTGCTGCCACTGCACTCCAGCCTGGGCAACAGAGTGAGACCCTGTCTTAAATAAATAAATAAATAAATAAAAAGTTGCCTGGTGGGTTCTTTCTGCATTAAAATTGTTAGTCTTGTTGCTGTACTTTTTCAGATGAATTCACACTCTCAGATTTCTACAATTTTTGTTGGATGTGTAAAGGAAAAATAATGGAAAGCATTACTAGCATGTCAAGTCCATGTAGAGGTGGGGGTATGACAAAGGAGTCGCTGAGGAATTTCAGGTCAAAAAGTCCTGTCTCTGCCTCCTGGAAGCTAAGTTAGGGTAAGGCATTTAAGCCTCACCAGCATTTAGTTTTCGTTTCTTCCTCTGCAAAGGAGGGACACTGTTGAATTTTTTTTTTTTTTTTTTTTTACAGTCACTCTCATTAGACTGTATACATCTTGAATGCAGTAATTCTGTTACTCATCTCTGTGTCTCTAGTATTAATGCAGTGTCCACCAGAGTAGCATCAATAACTGTTTCTCGGACAAATAAGGGTTAGACAATGATCATTAATGTTAATTTTAAATTATAAAATACTTTGTGAAAGGTTCAATCACATATAAGTTCCCTCTGTTTTCCCCATATATGTCATCTTAGGAAAAAAATATGAAATTAAATCCTACAATTAACAGCTTTATCTTCTGAAACTTTAGCAGTCTCAGAAAATGGTACATTTGGCCAGGCTTAGTGGCTCACGCCTGTAATCCCAGCACTCTGGGAGGCCGAGGCAGGTAGATAGTGAGGTCAGGACATCGAGACCATCCAGGCTAACATTATGAAACCCTGTCTCTACTAAAAATACAAAACATTCGCCAGGTATGGTGGCACGTGCCCGTAGTCCCAGCTACTCAGGAGGCTGAGGCAGGAGAATCACTTGTACCCGGAAGGTGGAGGTTGCAGTGAGCCGAGATCGCGTCACTGCACTCCAACTTGGGCGACAAAGCGAGACTCTGTCTCAAAAAAAAGAAAGAAAGAAAATAGTACATTTAGAACAGCCTGGTATAATGAGAAAACTTTGGGGCCCATCAGATGTGGGTTTTGGTTCTACCTGTGGCACTTACACAACTTTGGGACCACCTTGAGCTAATAATAAGGAAAGACTCTGAGACTGTTTCTTCCTCTGTGAAAAGGGACTCATAATGTCTGCCTTCCTGGTTGTTAGGAAGATGAGCAATTGTAGCTGTAATATGTCAAGCACATAGTAGGTTCTGAGTAGATGCTGCAAAATGTTATTTAAGGAATTTTTTTAACATGAAATTTATTCATTGGAACATTTTGTGATAATCTTTTTTTTTTTTTTTTTTTTTTTTTTTGAGACGGAGTCTCGCTCTGT